CGCCCGCCGTGCCCCTGCCCCTGCCCCCAGACTCAGACTCAGGGGACTCCTCAGGTCTGAGGCTCACCACTCACCTGCTGCTGCCCGGAGAGGCCACTCGGGACCCCCCACCCCCCACCAGGGCTACCACTGCCGTCAACTTCTTCGACGCGGAGCCCATGGAGCCCGAGCTGCGGCTACACCCCCTAGGCACCCCCACGAACTGAGCCGGCCTTGGAGCTGACCAACACGGAGCAGGACTGGGTAGGCCAAGGTCACGAGGCTTCTGGGGACAGTGGGGACATGGCAGGGACTCTGAGCTCCAGGGGTGCACTGAGCCAGTCCCACTGCTGCTCCAGACCCTTTGCCTGGGGGAAGAATACCTGGCCCAGTTTTCTGCAGGGTGCCCCCTTCTTGTGTGTCACCTGTGAGGTGTACAGTTTGGTTGGAGGACTCTGGATGTCCGTGAGGAGGACCTCTTGGTTCAGATTAGGATGAAACACTCACGCCTTTGCCCATCTGGCAGGCCAGGTCCACTTCCATCTGCAGAGGTGGACTAGCTTAGCAAACCCCTCCGTCCTCGGTTGAGTCTGTTATCACCTCCTGAGAGTCTGGACTGCGTGTCCCTGCCCCACCTCAGACCTGCACAATCCCAGTCGCGTGGCATGCACAGGTCCCGGGGAATGGGTGCAGGTTGCTCTTTTGGTTGGGCTGCCTCCGATGACCTTTCACCCTGAGAATGACTTGAGGGACTGCAGGCCCTCGGGGTGTGGGATGTGCGTGGCAGCACAGGCTAGCACCCGAGTCTGGGAGTCGGCGGCATGAATCTGAGTCTCTGCCCTACTGCAGCTAGCTTAGGGCTGGCCCAGGCGCTTGGCCTGAGTCTGTGACCTCAGAAGGGGAGATGCAGCTGACCCTAGAGCGTCTTGTGAGCTGGGACAACGTGTAGAGTGCCCAGCACCCAGTAGGCGGGCATGCATGGTAGTCCTGGTGTTGCAGCCTCCGGCTGTGGGCCAGGGTGGGCTCTTCATGCTGTTCTTTCTCCATTTCCTCCTCTTTGCTCCCAGTCTGAATTCCCACCACCTGACTCCAGAGCCCCAACTCCTTGTGATGGGTCCCAGGTGGGGCCTGGCCTTGGGGCCCTGCCAGCTCCCCGGTGGCTGCACTGTCCCTCTGAGACACGGGGCAGATGGCATGTTCTTGGTCATCAGAGGTGGTGCTTGTACCTAGGAGAGGGACAGCTGGTAGCGATAAAGCCAGCCTTCTGCCCCACCTCCTTCTGGCCCTCCTGGGGTCGGCGAGGGAAAGGGGAACGGAAGCCATGTAGGTCTGCAGAACAGAGCTGAAGAGACGCTCTCCCTGGGGCAGGGCGGCTGTCGGGCAGACAGGTGGATTTTGGCACAGGGCCCGGGTTTTGGGGACAGGGATGGGAAAACTCTTGGTCCCCACAGTTACCTACCATAGGCTTCATTTTGGCCTGAGGGCTTTCTTTTTTCAGAGAGATTTTTGCTATAGAGCGCATGTGCTCCCCAGAGAGACAGAAAGACAGAAAGTGAGAATAGAGCCATGCCGCAATCCCTTCTCCATTCTCCTCCTGGGATTTTGGGCACACATGCATATGTGCCTGGTGTGAGTTTCAAGCCACCAGGTCTGGGACTTCAACTGCAATCTACTACGTGGGAGTCCAGCGACATAACCATTACACCATCTGCTGACTCAAGCCTGAGGGGTTCCTTAAATCCTCTCTCTCCTCCCCAACTCTCCAGCGCCCCACTTCCGGGGCAGGGGGCGGTTTCTGCATGGAGGGCCTGGTGCTCTCCTTGGTGCTGACTAGACTTGACCCGGCCCCGGCTGCTGGCCGCAGAGGGGCCATGGTGCTTGCTGGGGCTTCTCCTACCTTCCCAGCTGTTGGAGGGGACTCAATAAACACAAGCTGAAGGCAGTGGCTGTGGTGTGGACTGGACTCAATGGAGGGGCTGCTTGGGACCTGAGAAACAGCCGGGGCAATGGGAAGAGACCCTGAGCGTAGGGGCTTGGCTTCTGGTCCAGGCTCTTCCTAATTTGCTCTGGAACCCCAGCAAGGTCATTTCCCCTTTGAGCACCTCAGGGTTCTGCGTGTGGCAGGAACACTACCAGCAGCAGGTGCTGTGTAGACATTTGCTGAATGGACGGACACACAGACGCCTGAACAGCCATGCGGCTCCTGTATTTATGACCAATTTCTCCTGCCCTCCTCCCACCTGCCCCAGAGCCGACCAGTGCTTCCTCTGCCTGGGCATGGCCTCCTCATCTGCTCGATGGGGCAGCTGTCCCTCAAGGGCAGTGGGAGGGACAAAGAGGGTGCAGGCCCAGTGGCTGAGAGCTGGCTCTGGGTAAAAACCTGGGTCCACTGCTGGCCAGCTGCAAAACCTGCAGCCAGCCACCTCATCTCTCTGGGCCCCAATGTCCCCAAGGGTAAAATGAAGATGACAGCACAGTCACGCGCCATATGACGACATTTGGGCCAACGGCAGACCATAGCCGACAGTGGTCCCACAGGAGCACAAGGCTATGCCGCGTGGCCTCAGTGTGAATGACACATTTCTCAGGACTGTACCTACTTCACACCGTGCGAAGGTCACCGTGGTAAGAACTTCGTACATGGTAAACACGCAGTGAGTGGCAGCTGCTTCTATCACTGCTGTTGGTGGTTATTGCTATAACCTCCCATTTCCGCTACAGGAAGTCCTCTCGCTGTACAATTTGTCCCCGTCGCCAGGCCCAGGTCCCAGCCACACTGAATGCTGACTCAGCATGTATTCACCACGCTCGGGAACGACGCTATCCAGAGCCACCGAGGTGCACAACCTCACACCGTGTCACTCTGTGTCTGGGTGACTGACACTCGGTAGCGCAGTGCACCGCCTGCATGGCTCTACAGGGCAGCTCTGATGGCATCTCCGAAGAGGAGGGAGAGTAAGCTGTACCTCTGCACCCTCAGCAGCTGCCGGGGGTGGTACCTGAGGGCTGGCAGGCAGTCCTCTGTGTGGCTGGAAGGGCAGGTGGACACCAGGCAGTGCCGAGGCCAGGGCAGAGACAGTGCGGGAGCTGCAGGCCGAGCTCTCCAGGCCTCCAGATGGCCAGCCAAACCCCGCAGTGATGACCTGAAACACAGGAAGCCCATGGCTGGCACAGAGTCTCGAGACTCCGAGCCGTGCTTGGCTAACTTTGCAGGTCTCTGGCTTTGCTTCCCCAGGGAGGGAATGTCATCTTCCATGCATTCCTTTCCTTCCAGTTCCTTTTTCTTTCAATTCCAATTCCTTCAGCTTAGGAAAGACACGTGTGGACATTCCACACCAGCAGAGCTTGCGTGGGCAGCCGGGAGGGGGAGGGTGGTGGTGCGAGAGAGCTGCACACAGAAACCCAGGAAGATGGCACAGGCCACCGCCAGGGTCAGTTCAGTCTGGGGCCAGGCCCCTGGATCTGGCTGGCACAGTCGGGGCAGCCCAGTGGGTTGGGGCCCATGCCATGGCTGCAGACAGGGGTGCTCTCAGCAGGGCTGGCTGCAGCAGGAAGGCAAGCCCCTTCAGATTGGTCCAGTCCTGCTGGTACCTGGGCTTGGCTGGGGTCAGTAGACATGGCCACTCTGGGGGTGTCTTTGGGTGCAGGACCCTGGGCTGGCCCATCCTGGTGGGTGGTCTCGCTTGAGGAGGAGGTGGCTGCTGCCTGGTGAGGCTCCTCTTGTGACAGGCTGCCTGGCGCCAGCAAGAGGCCCTTCTCGTCCCAGCCTGGCTTGGTGCGGATGCCCACGGCCCTCAGGATGACATCCATCTGCTTGGCATAGTCCAAGTGGCCGCTGACCTGCAGGAGGACAGTGAATGAGGACCACAGCGTGTGGGACAGGCCTAACCCTCCCCAGGGCCCAAGCTAAGCTCTGGGCTTCTTCCTCCCCCTTGGCATCCTCAGCAAACCAAGCACCAATCCCAGGACTCCAACTCCCAGTGACTCTCAAATCCAGGGTTGGGGTGGGAGGCTCCAGGGTGAAAGCTGCTCTGGAACAGATTACATGAAGATGAAGGGAGGTTCTTAAAAAACGAAGGCTTTTAGGTCCTCTAGGGCAGGAAGGGATCTCCTGTTGGACAGGAAGTTGGTGGAGGTTCTTGTCCTCTGCCTGCGGCTGAAGGCCACAGTAGGGGCTCTGCAACTTACTAGCTGAGGGAGCCTGGGCAAGCCCCCTATCCAGCCGGGTCTCAGTTGCCTCGGCTGTCAAACGGGGGCAAGGGTAGCCACACCAGAGGATGGACGGGTTTCCCTAGGAGGAGTGCTCAAAGTGAAATACAGCTAATGACAGCTGGGCACGCGCCCCCGCCTCCCTGGCAGCCAAGTGAAGCACCTTGGCAAGTTCTGGTCAAAGCAGTAGTGTTAAGCGTGCTCTCTAGAATTCTATTAAAGAGGAGAAATATTCTCCCCTAATTTCCTCTTTCCTGCTAGCTGGAATTCAGATGGGATGGCCAGAGCCTCAGTAGCCCTCTTGGGCCATGAGTTGGCCCACCAAGGATCGCAGGGCAAGCAGCAAGGCAGAGGGAATTTTGACCCCTGAAGACAGTGAAGCTGGCACACCATCCTTCAACGCCTGTTCTGGCTTGTGTGCGACAGACTCAACCCTTGTGTGTTTAAGACACTTAGTGGTGTCTCTGTTATCTGGACCTAAATCTTAACCAGGACAGGGGCCAAGAACTCAGAAGTGCTACCCCTTTCCCTGGAGAATGACATGTCCCTGTGTGTTGGGATGTGTAGGTGAGAGAAAAGCAGAAAACAGTGAGTCTGAGTGGAAGCTGGAGGCCTAGCTGCAAAAATGCCCGACACACAGTAGGTCCTTAATACACGGTTGCGAAGGAGATTATTGGATAGGCCCCTTTGACAGATATTGGCTGCTAACTGCAGAGGAAGAAATCGAGCCACTGGGAGGTTATGTGGATGGAACGGATCAGAGCTGGAGTCTGGACCCGGGCTTGTCTCTAAAGCCTGTTCTCGTCACAGAAAATCGGTTGGGAAGGAGGGACTTTAAAAATGATTCTCAGAGAGACCAGCAGATGGTATAATGGTACGTCGCTGGACTCACATGTAGTCAACCACGGCACGAGTCCTGGACCCAGTGGCTTAAACCTCACGCTGGGTGCATGTGTGTGCATGCCCAAAATCCTAGGGAGAATGGAGAAGGGATTGTGGCATGGCCTTCCCCCCAGGGGGTGACTTCTCATTGTCTCACTGTCTCTCTGGTGAGTACACGTACCCTACAGCAAAAATCTTTCTCTTCTCAAAAAAAAAAAGACTCTCAGAGCCAGGGGTGGCAGCACCTGCCTGAAATCCTTACAAACTCGGGAGGCTGAGGCAGGAGGACTGTGAGTAGTGAGAGTCTGGCTAAAATGAAAAAACAAAAACATTCCCACTTTTACAGATGAGGAAGGTGAAGCCAGAGAGGGCGGTGGCAGGCGTAAGGACGCACAGCAGAAGAGGAAAGCCGCAGGCGGTGCTCGCGGCGGTCAGAGGCCGCCTAGCTCAGACTTGCCTCCCAAAACGGAGCCTCCCTCTCTGCAGCCAGGTGTGTGTGCCCATCGGGTGCTGCCAAAGGCCGGCAGGAGACAGAACACCGCTTTCAGGCTGAAGGGCAAGGCTTTGATTTAAAAAGAGGGTAAGAGAGCTCTGGGAGGGGCCGGCTGGGAATCGGGACCTGCGGGAAGACTGGCTGGCGCCATTCTGGTACCAAGGCATCTCCATGTGAATCCAGAATTACACTGGGGTATTCAAGCCATTTTCTCAGAACACAAAAAGACAATTCCCTGTACGGGTTTTGCTATTTTCTCACTCCCAGCAGCTGCCTACCTTTGTTCCTTTCCTAACAATGCTTTTTTTCTGTTGTTAGCTATTTGTCACAGGGCGTGTATGCTCACTGAAGAGGCAGAGAAAAAGTGAGAAGTCAGCCCCTGGGAGGACGGTCATGCCACAGTCCCTTTTCCTCCACTGGCCTCTTGGGATTTTGGGCACACACACACACACACACACACGTGCCCAGCCTGATTGTAAGCCACTGTGTTTGGACTCGAACCGCGGAGTTGGCCACGTGGGATTCAGCACCTTCACTACCATGATGCTTCGGAACAGTTTCCGGTGAAAATGTGCACACATATCTACACACAGACGCGCCTTTGCAGGCCCCTGGTTCAGAAGGAGGTCAAGGTGGGGCTCCTGCCCTCCTGCAGCACTGAGCCATTCAGTGGGTGCAAGGCACGAGAGAGACCCTGTGAGTCTGTAACCTGGAGGTGTTCCGACCCTGGCTCTGCTACCAGTAACCGTGTTCATCCCTACGATCTCCTGAGCCGCAGCTTCCCTACCTGCGAAGTGAGTGTGGTGACCTCGAACGTCTATGGCCAAACAGCTTGAGGGTCTGGAGTCTGCAGGACTCGGCACCTGCCAGCCTTTACTGCTACGCTTCACATACCATCCTAAACACGTTCGGAGTACCCAGTCTGACTCAGCGATACCCTCCTCCAGGGGTTGGCGAGAACAAGGAATGGATATAACCAGGAAGCACAGTTCTTGGCGCATAGTAGGGGCTCCATAAATACGAGTTCCCTTGTCTTAGTTACCTTAGAAGGAGAAACAGAGTCAAGAGAGCCATTTGGGAGCCCAAGATGGCTGCTCAAGCTCTAGCCATTACATCTGAATTCCAGCCAACGGAAACCAGACTCACAAGGACAAGCAAGAACTGTCTCCCTACACCTTACTGTTGGTGAAGGGCTGGTGCCAGGACTGGGAAGCTGGCCAGGAAGGGAGATGTCTGTGGCGACTGCAGCTGATTTCAGATGGAAATTCCATGGTGTAGCTGTTCTTAGAACACAGCTCTGGCCCTCCTTGGTCTGAGTCTCGGCCAACCCTAGTCCCTAAGCTGCCATTCTGCAAAGACCCAGGAGGGAGAAGTTGCTGGCAAAGCTCCGATTTTAGTGTCGCTGGATGGATGCGCGCACAGGGCAGAGGCGTGTGGGCAGTCTGTCCTTAGCAGAGCACGAGGAGACCTCGCACGTGGGACCTTCCCATGTGGCTTTCTGCACGGAACCATCGCATGATCACTATGCCACTGTGGCTGGCCTGCTATTTATTTATTTTTTTTAAGAATTATTTATTTAGTTTTGTTGATCATGATCATATTTTCTAATTTGCTACAGGGCACATACACTCACCAGAGAGAGACAGAAAGAGCTAGAGAGAGAGTGAGAAATCAAGCTACCAGGTCCAGGACTCAAACCATGGTCGGCCATGTGGGAGTTTAGCACCATAACCACCATGCCACCAGCTGGCCCCATGACCTGCTATCTTGTGCTAATCTCTTTGGTAAGTTCTAGAAACTGGTTGGCATTTTCTTTGAGACATGAAGAATTTTGCTCTGGCTGGGTCTCTGCTGCCCCAGGAAGGTTCATGAGCTGGGCCCAGGGGTGCAGAATTCCCTGTCTGCTGCAAGAGATTGAAAGGCTGGGAGTCTAAACAAATGAATAAATAAACAAAGTTAAATAAAATAATTACTTAAAAAAAGAAAAAAAGAAAGGCAGGGAGGCAGGTAGACTTCATTGCTTCATTCACCCGTGAGGACCTCTGCCTGAGACAGGGCCAGCCACTTGGGCTGGTGCACGAGGGTCCTACGGGGTGACTGCTGGGCCTGAAAGCAGCCACTGCTTCCCCAGCAGCAGTCATGGATGGGCCCCAGCCGCTCCTCCAGCCCGAGTTTTCAAGGAAAACAGGAAGGCAATGCTAATTCCCTCTAATTCCCCAGAAGAGGGAAGCCGCTCTGCTGCCAGCTCCTAATGTGATAAAGAGCTATTATTAGGCAGCGGGGTGGCTGCCAGGAAGACAGCCTGGGGCAAGGGAAGTCTCTGTAGCGCTGGTCCCTACGGCTAAAGAGCTGAAGTGGGTGGCAGGGCAGGAGAGGAGGGCATTAAGTGAGGGCTGACTGTGTGCCAAGCATCTTATGTGGGGTTGCCCTGGAAGTTGGGTGGCTCCAGCCTGGTGAGTGAGCCAGTCACGCCCTCAGCTGGTTGCAGGGGTGAGTCAAGGGTTGGGTCATGGGATCTGTGGATTGGTGGTACCTATGGGGCCTGGAAGTGGCTGGCTGGGCCACCCCAGGGAACCCCACCCTGGTCAGCCCAGGATGCAACGATGACTACAGCACAGTCCTGCTTCAGGGAGCCCTGGAAAGGGAGCGAGCCCAGGGCCATGGAGCAGGGGAGGGTGTGGGGAGAATGCCCTGAAAGGAGCAGTACAGGCCGTGCTGGTTCACAGGTGAGGAGACCGCGGCACGGAGACCTAAGGTCCTGGCCCAAGGTCGCACGGCCAGTACGCCGGCAGCTGAGCCGGGTGCAAGCCAGGCCTTTCTGGTGTCAAAGCTGTGAGCATCCCATCGTATTCCATCTCAGGGTTCCCAGGGCAGAGACTGGATCATGAAGGCTATGGCATTAAAAGGAATTTTTAAAAAGAATTATTTAAGTTTGGGACCAGCAGTTAGTGTAATGGCTATGTCGCTGAACTCCCATGTAGTTGACTGCGGTTCAAGTCCCGGACCTGGTGGCTTAAACTCACGCTCGGTGCATGCGTGTGTGTGCCCAAGATCCCGAGGAGAATGGAGGAGAAGGGATTGCAGTATGGCCATCCCCTCATGGGAGGTGATTTCTCGCTTTCTGTCTCTGTCTCTCTCTGTCTTTCTGGCGAGTGCATGCGCCCTGTAGTTAAAACCTCTCAAAAATATTTAATTTTATTTATTTATTAATTACTATTACTATTTTTAATTTGCCATAGGGCAAGCATACTCACCAGGGAGGGGGAGAGAGAGAGAGAGAGCATAAGAAAGCAAAGCCTCCAGGTTTGGGACTTGAACTGTGGTCACCACCATACCACCTGCTGGCCCTGGAACTTTCCTTGCAAAGGAGCAGCTGTTCCTTTTTACCTTTGGCTCCCCTGGTAGAAGGAGACCCTTGGAGAGATGAGGCCCCGAGTCACCAGTCCTGCTCACCGCATCCGGGGCACAGGCACCCTCCATGAGGACACAGAGTCCCAGGCACAGGTCAGGCGGCGGTGCTCCGGGCCCTGTGCTTCTCTGGCCTGTGGCCCAGCTTACCTCATCCCCCAGCGAGGAGGGCAGCACACGCTTGGGGCCTGGGCTCAGAGTCCGGATCTGCCACTCTGGCTGGGAGCCCATCCTCTCACGGCCCGGATTTCCGATCTATGACTGGCGTCACAGACGGAGGTCTGTATCATTCAGGTGGAAGAACTGAGATGGCCCGAGAGGCTTCCTGTGACTCTAGAGGGAGGACACCTGTGTGTCCTGTGAAGCCTCGAGCAATCGGTTTCACAAACGGCTGAGTCTGGAAACCGCCCTATTCCTGGGCCCCGAAGCTCCCAGGTAGGAAGGCGTGGGGAGCTTCGCCTGTCCCTTGGCTAGGCTAGGACTGGTGTGTTAGGGCCCCGGGGGTGTGTGGAGTGAAGACACAGTGCTGGTGTTAGGGGCTGGGTGACCTCTGGGCAGGGGCATGGCCCAGGGAGTCAGGGGCAGCAGTGCCAGGGAGTTCTGGCGTTATTCGAGGGAGTTCGGGGCAGCAGTGCCAGGGAGTTCTGGCGTTATGTTTCCGTGCTGGAATTTCCCTCTGTCATCAAATGCTCAGCTAAACGCAGCCCAGGTTCGCAGCACTGGGCGTGGGGTGGCCGAGGGGTCCGACTTCTGCCATCGAGGCACAGTGGTGGAGGGGGTAGGAGGATCGCCGTGGCTGAAGGAGAAGCCAGATTCGGCTCTACCCCCAGGGGAACTCTCAGACGCCCAGGGAGGGTCTGCCTGTTGTCAGGAAGGAGGGCGCCTCTCAAAGGACTGTCCTACGGAAACTGGGCTGCGCCTGGGACCCTCTCAGCCCTTGGCAGGCGGCAGGCGACAATGTAAGAACTGGAAACCAAGTTCTCGTGGGCCCTGGGCACTGCAGCACCTGGCTGGCCGAACCTGTCTGCGGATGTAACTGCACCGTTTTGCTGTCCCCTCCCGGTACTGGGCCCTCTCTGGTCATTTCTCATTTTTACCTGAGCCAGAGCTATGTCCATTGGCTTCAGACCTGGGTTTGTGTCCTGCACTGCCTAGTCCTGGTGGTGTGACCTGACCCTGGGCAAGTCCCTCCCCTCTCAGCCTCAGTGTCCTCATCTGTACAGTGGGACACTAATGCCCGTCAGAGGCAGGGCGGAGGCAGAGCTGGGTAAAGAGGGACCGTCCCCGGGTGAAGCTAGCAACTCCTTATGGCCGGCATGTGATAGGTGGGCGGATTCCTTCAAGCCCAAACATGATTTAGAAACTCAATCAGGTTTGCGTGGTTGTTCAGACAGGTCCCCTGTCATCCCATTCCCAACAAGAATTCCTTCTAATCCTGGGACCAGTAATTAGCATAATGGCTATGTCGCTGGACTCCCACGTAGTCTACCCTGGGGCGAGTCCCAGACCCAGTGGCTTAAACTCATGTTGGGCGTGTGTGCGTGCGTGCCCAAGATCCCGAGAGGAGAATGGAGGAGAAGGGATTGCGGTGTGTCCATCCCCCCCTGGGGGGTGATTTCTCGCTTTCTATCTCTCTGTCTCTCTCTGTTTTTCTGGCGAGTGCACGCGCCCTATAGCAAAAACCTCTCCAAAAAAAAAGAATTTCTTCTAATCTCCTCTACCTGTTTCCCAGACCTAACTTAGGTGCTTAAGAATCCTCAGGGAGGGGGCCAGCAGGTGGCATGGTGGTTAAGGCACTGGACTCCTGCATGGCTGACGGTGGTTCGAGTACTGGACCTGGTGGCTTTCTCTCTCTTTCTTGTCAAATTAAAAAAATAAATAAAATTAAATAATTAAAAAAAATCCTCAGGAAGCATGTTTAAAATGAAGACTCCTAAATTCAGCCTCTAGAGACCAATCTATTAATAGGTGTAGGGCGGGGCCAGCAGGTGGCATAGCAGTTTTGTCGCTGAACTCCCACATGGCTGACCGCTGTTTGAGTTCCTGGACCCGGTGGCTTGGAAACCATGCCAGGTGCATGTGTGTGCTTGCCCAAGGTCCCGGGAGAAGAACGGAGTAGAAGCGATTGCGGTGTGACCATGCCCCGGGTGATTTCTCACTTTCCCTCTCACTGTGTCTGTCTGTCTCTGCTGAGTGCACATGCCCTAAGGGACCCCCCCAAAAAAAAAAAAAAAATCTAGGGCACTGGGGCCCAGGAATCTGCATTTCAAATACTCTCTTTTTCATTGCAAGGCCTGCCAATCAGGGAGTCTGTTTTCGATGGAACCTGAGGCCTTCCACCTGCATCCTCTGGTCACCGGGGCTATTTCTGGGACAAACAGTCTTGACCAGTGACCTGGAATCAGAGGAGACCCAGGGAAGGACAGGGGAGCAGAGAATGGTCAGTAATTGGGCAGGAACATGGACTTTGAAGGTTCAAAGCCAGTCTTGTTAATTGCTAGTGTGACCAGAACTTTCCTAAGCCTCAGTTTCCCAATCTGTGACACGAAGACCACAGTGCCTGCCCCAGAGGCTGTGTGAGGACGAGAGAGAATGCATGTAAAGGGCCCGGGCACAAAGGCCTGGACAAGGACGGTGCGTGGTAAATAGAGCTACCCGGGTCTCAGTGTGGTGCTCACCAAGTATCCTCTTCCAGCTCCCTCTTCCCGGGCAGAGTGGGCTGGGCTGCTGTCTCCAGGGCTGGGCATCTGTGGGCCGGGGTAACTAAGCGCCTCTTGCCCTGGGAGGGAAAGGCCAGTACTCACCACTGAGGACAAGTCCACGTTCTCCACCCTCCTGTCCTGCAGCTGCACAGGCTGCAGGCCAGCGACACGGAGCTGAGCGGAGGATGTGCGGTACACGAAGCTCAGCAGCCAGTCTCCCCTGGGGAGGAGGGAGGGACGCCAGTCAGTCTCGGTGCAGCTGAGGATGGGATGGGTCCTGCTGCCTGCTGGGAAGTCCGGTGGGACCGGAGCTTCTGCAGGAAAGCAGAACCTCTGACCACACCCTGGAGGGTAACTGTGTTAGAGGTGGCAGGGGCCGGGACTTCCAGAGCCCAGCTCAGGTGCCCGGCAGGGTACCAAGGGCTTTGCAGGTGCCCGGGCAGCTCCATGAAGCCTGTCTGTTTATTCCTTGCGGGGTGCCCGGAGCCAGGAGTGTCTGGCAGGCATGAGGTGAACACCTGTTGACTGAACCAATCCTCATTGCTGGATAAAGTTCCCAACCAGTCAGCACGTGACTCAGGAGAGCCACCCTCATGTGGGGAAGGGGCTGGGAAAGGAAAGAGGCAGTAGGAGTCCTCCGGGCTGCAGGGGTCCTGGGGTTCCAGGTGGACCATCTTTCTGAGCCGAGGCACCAGCTCTGCTTCCCAAGAATAGACCCTGCCCAACCTGCAGGTCCTCCCTACTCTCGGCCAGAAGGCAGGTCACAGTGGGATCCTCCTCCACTTCTGTGGGTGCTCATCCCCACTCCCTGCACCTGCCCTGCCAAACACCCCTACACTACCCAGAGGCCTCCCCTGGGACTCTGTGCTGCCCCTTTCTTCAGGTACCACAGTGTCCATCAGGGCATGGTCTGAGGGTCTCACGTGCCCTAAGGCATGTGCACAGACAGCCCCCTCGGGGCCCTGGGCTTAGTCCTGGGGTGCGGCTGGGCCAGCCAAGAGCGTGCACTCGGCCTCACTGCCCAGCAGGGCCACGCGCGGGAGCGTATCTGTTCTCCCCTCCAGATCCTGGTCTCTGGGCCAGTCTAGCACACTGAGCGGTCTCTTATTCAGACCAATTCCTTTTGTTTGTTTTTAAAACTCATTGTTATGCGTGTCTTCAGAGAGAGAGAGAGAGAGAGAGGGAGAGAGAAAGAGGGGCCAGACAGATGGACATGCACCCCTAACGGGGTCTCCAACCATGATCCCCCAGTCTCAGCCAGCCCAGATCATGGGCACGTGAGAGTCCAGGGTACCTGGGAGGTCCTGGGGCCTGAACCAGGACCCTTCCACATGAGTCAGCTGTGTGACCACTGACCTCCGCCTGCGCCCCGTTCAGACCCACCCCTGCTGTTTGCATGGCAGTCCTTTCTTCCATACATTGGAAAGAAGGGCAGCCCTCACTGCAGCTGGGTGAAGACGGCTGGGAGCAGGGGCTCGGTGTGGCCCACTGGGTCCTGTTCACATCCAGTCACCCCTCTGGCCCGGGCAATCCCCATGGCCTGGTCTGAGAGTGTGCTCAAGGGCCCCTCCCAGTTCTACCCAGCGTGGCCTCTGACCATGTGGGTGCAAGTGTGGGTACCCCTCAGGAAGCCCCTAGGACTGGGCCTTGAGGGGCCCTTTAGAGACCCTCCTGAGTGTCCCAGCTCCTTCTCCACTACCATCCGCACTTTCCCTCAAGCAGAAACCAATATCCTAGGTGCCCACACCCTGGGCCGCTTTCTACACTATCCTGATTTCTGCGGCTTCCCCACCCCTCAATGTCCGTCCCTTCTGCTCCAGCTCCGAGATCAGGCCACCCCGTCCCCTGCCCCTCCGGAGGAGTCACTGCCTGCAGCCTTCCAGGTCCTTCACTGTCTGCATCAGACCAGGTCCTCCACTCTTAGAAGCCCACCGTGGCTCCCCATTGCCCACAGCTTTCTGGTCCAGGAAGTTCCCTAACAACCAGAGAACAACACTTTCAGATGCTGCTGACTATCTTAACAAGGAGGGTCAATGAAGCCCCTCCAGGAATGGGTGGCTAAGGGGAGAGGGGGCAGATTAACTGGTGCCTAATCACGAGGCATAGGGGCATCGAGTACTGGTAGGACATGACCGTCATAGATGGCTGTGGGTGAGCGGGGACAGCCCCAGCCCTTCCAAATGACTTCTGTCAGAATTACGACACTTTACTTAAACTGTCAGTCACACTCACCCACATTTAGGGACAGACAGGCACGTGTGAGAAGCTCTTTATGCTCCCTAGTGAGCTGAGCAGACCCCAGGCTTCCACGGGCATTCAAGACCCTTTCCAGTAAACTACACAGAGCCAGCTCCAAGTCCTGCCTTGCTGGTTATGAGCTGTGTGACCGTGGGCAACTTGACTGACCTCTCTGAGCTCAGTCTCTGTGCTGTACGTCAACTCCTAGGGTTGGTGGGAGGGTTAACGAGGGCACATAGCTGCCGGGAAACCTCACGTGGGATTATGCGCTCCTGGGCTCCGTGTGCAGCGTGGCCCCTCTTCTCAGCCTGTGCTCCCAGTCTCGGATGGGGTCCTGTTCACATCCTGTCACCCTCCAGGGAGTGCCCAGGCCGCTCCACCTGGGACGAAGACTCCTTCGCCCCTCTTGTGCCTGGCACTGCTTGCTCCTTCCGTGACACGGGCCTCATGTCCTCCCATGCTCCCGCGTTCCCGGGCCTCTCCTCATCCTGGCGCTCTGAGGCAGGACCGTGCCTTAGTCACTGCTGCATCCTGAGCTGGACTGCAGACTCCCTGGGGTGGCCCAGGCCCTGCGGGTGACGCTGACTCTCTCCCTGCGACCTGTTGAGGGTATGGGCAGGGCCTTCTCTTCTCCTGTTTTTTTTGTTTGTTTGTTTGTTTGTTTTTAAATTGCCAGAGGAGGCAGAAAGACACAGAGACAGATAGGGAGAAAGCATCCCCCGATGGGACATGGTCATACTACAATCCCTTTTCTTAATTTCTATATCCTGTTAGGATTTGGGGCATACGTGCACATTCATCTTGTGCATTCGCGAGAGAGAGAGAGAAAGAGAGGGTTGCTAGGTCCAGGACTTGAACCTGTGAGTCCAGTGCCTTAACCACCACACTACCTGCTAGCTCCAGCACCTGACATGTTTTTCAAGTTGATGGGGCTGGGACTCAACCTGCAGTTGCAGTTGGCCATGTGGGATCTGGCTCCCACAGCCTTGGAGCCGGCCCGTTCTTCCTATCATCTCTTCCTCAAAAACATGGAGCAGAGACCACAGGGTGTTCCCTGTCCCTGGGCTATGAGGAGTCCCCTTGGCGACTCAGAATGTAACCCTCTTACTGTGGAGTGATTCAGGCCTGAGCACTGTCCTGGCTATGCTATGGGACCTTGGGCACGTCCCCTGCCCCTCTCAGAGCTTGTCTCCTCAGAGGTGTGACAGGGAATAGAACTATTGACCCCAGAAGCTTCTAGAGGCTCGTGAAAGCCTGAGTGACTGGCTCTGCTGGGGGCCCCTGTGACGTGAGCTGCACGTCTGTGAGTGTAGAGTTGGGTGTTGGCGGGAGTGAGCCCCCCAGGTTTAAGTAGACTGCGGGGCTGAAGGGCCTTTGGGCAAGAATCCTGGACCTAGTTACCGTTTGGGTCTCTTTGCCCTCTTTCCCGC